CATAGTGAACAGGAGAAAGTATTTGCATATCATTCAAGACAAGGGCTAATCTCCCAGATCTACAAAGAACTCATACAAGTTAACAAGACAAATAATCCAATCAGAAAATTGGGCAGAAGATCTAATTAGACTCCAAAAAATAGACACCCAGAAGGCCAGCCCGCACAAGAAAAATGCTCACCCTCACTCAGCATCTGGGAAATACAAGTGAAACCACAATGAGACACCACCTCACATGTGTGAGAATGGCCCCGCATCAAAAAGGCCGAAAACAACAGGAAATAGTGAGAGTGTGGGGAGAAAAAGAACTCTCCTACCCTCTTGGAGGGAGTGAACTGGGGCAAATGAATTGGGGCTGGCCCCCATGGGAGCAGTGTGGGTGCCTCTCAAATGACTGAAAGAAGATCTGCTAGCTGACCCAGAGAATCCACCTCTAGGATCCAGCTGAAGATTATAAAAGTACAAATCTGAAGGATAGTTGCTCATCTATATTCCTTGCAGCACTACTTACAGTAATTAACTCTGGAAACAACCTGAGTGACAGACAATAAGATGTGGTGTAGATAAAGTGGTTTACGACTGAGCTATCAAAAAAGAAAGAAGGATGAAATCCTGCCATTCTCAACAATATGGATGGGAGTGAAGTGGATTATAGCAAACAAAGTAAGTTAGGAGAAAGACAAGTGACAGATGTGAAATAGAAAGACACAAAGCAAAGGACAGGACAAAACTAAACTGAAACAAACCCTAGAAAACTACCTGCAGAATTGAGGCCACCAGAGGAAGACTTGGGGGTTGGGGGGGTCAATGGGAGGTGATCTAGAGGGCTATGGTGGAGGATTAGGATGCTATTATGGGTGTGCTGTGGTAACATATGTCTGAAGATATGCCCTGACATCATATACAGTCTTGTAAACCAAGGGAACCTTAATAAAAATAATGCAATTTTTTAAATAGAGGAAAAGAACATATATTTAGGTTGTAATTTACTACTTGAAGACTAATTTGATGGATGGCTCTTTGATCTACTTAAGGCAGTACCTAGTCAGAAAATGTTCTTGGGAAATTTATAATGTAATGAGGGAGCAAAGAGATAGAGATATGTTATACAGAATAACAAGAGTTATGTCCTATGACTATAAGGTTTGTTCTGAGAACAAGAGTTAACCTAGCGGGAGGGAGACAGGAATATCAGGGAAGGCTTCCTGCAGGAGGTGGCAATTGTAACATTTCAAACCCATTCGGATGGCCTTTTCTAATAGTGTGGTATAAGGTACTAGAAAGGAATTTATCAGATGTCCTAATGCTTGAAGCTAGACAGGATGGAGTAGTTTCTCAGCAGAAAATTCAGAATTCAAAGATTATCCTACAGGTTTCACTTAAGGGGCCAATTCTAATAAAATAAAAATGAATGTCATCTCCACAAAAGCAAGGATTTTTACCTGTTATGTTGTCCGTTATATCTGTCCTCAGCCCAGGAATGCTTGTGCCTGATGTGGATTGATTCTCAGTATTTGTTCAATGAATGTATAGTTACATTTCCTCCACCTCTTTTTCTATCTTGATTAGACCTGGGAATAATTTCTCATCCCACATCTTCATCCTCTCGTGCCCTCTACCTAGACAATTCAGACAGCATAGTGAGGGTCCCTCCCACCCCCTGCTCTGCCCCCCACACCACAATCCCAGCCTAGATCACACCAGCCTGTCTTTCTGACCTACTTAGTGGAGAGGAAACTTACCATCACCATTTCCAACTATGTGAGTTGCACTTTCTATTTCAGCCTGGGCAGGACCATTCAGCGCTATCTGGTCAATGCAGTTACCCTTCCTGGAGTCTGTTTTCTGCAGGAAGATATTGTTACTTTCCCCAGATTTCTAATTCCATCTTGCTTTTTAAAATTCTCATAATATGACCACAGAAGAGCAACATAACCTACTGAAGTTCCTCAAGTTTCCCAGTCAAGTTTCAGACTTATTTATTTATACAAAAACTGGGGTACAGGCCAGAGGTGAGGGGTTGAGAGGACTCACCAGAGACAGAGTGGGGAGCAGAACAGGCACATTGACTGAAAAACACTGCTGAGGGGAGCAGTGGGTGGGGTCAGAGGAGTCTGCCACACTGTGTGGGCCACCCACCAACCTTCCTCCCACCCCCAACGCCCCCGCCAGGCTAGGGATCAAACTCTTGCTACAATGGCTGCGGATAGCTTCACAGTGCTGTGCTTTAACCTGATGCACCACCAGAGAGGGCCCTCAGAATACAGCTTTAACCTGCCTTTATTCTTTTACTTGTTCCTCCTTAGGAGGCTTGTGTGAGAGAGACCTCTTTGGCTTCAGTTGGGAGAGCAGACTGGAGAGGAGCAAGACTCAGAGCAGGGAAAACAGTTGGGGTGGGGGAGTGTAAATGAGCAAGAAAGGAAGAGTAGACAGGACTTGAGGATGAGTGGCGAGAGGAAGAGGCTTCTGAAAGGGATGGCCAAAGTCATTTTCAGAACTGTAGGATGGATTCTCACTGCCTGTAGCAGCTCACGTGTTCCCAGGCAGTAAGCCTTACCTGCACCAGACTGCTTTGCTATGAGATACAATGGAGTCCTCACCCTCAGGTCTAGAACATTACTCTGTCAAACTCACAAAATCCTTTACTGTACAAGGGAGCCTAGCATTTGAAACAGAGAGGGAGGCTGATTTCCTACAAGTCCCTAAATGATTGTGTCCTGGATTCCTGTTCTTGGGTCCTTCATTCCACACTCAGTGATACGTTGTAGTATTATCGAGGCTCCATCTGCTATGCCCACAGCTTTATCTCCATATATATGTACAGAATTCTAGGCCTGTATTTTTATATCAGTTGTCCATGGATTGTATAAGGAAACAAATTTATCTCAATCCTTTATTTGAATCACTCTTTTTGACTCCTACTCTAAATTGACCCTTTTTTTAATGTGCAATCTCAGTTCACACCTGTTCATCTTCTCATTCGCTCAAGCTAGAACCCATAGGGTCAACTTGACCTTTACTAGTATATGTGGTCCATGAGAAACCACCTCAAGTCTACTTCAGGAGAATCCTAAATCCCCTCCCCTGTGAGCTCAGGGCCAGAATTATCAAAGGCATTTTAACACCTACCTATAAGATCTATTTCTACCACGCTTTTCCCACAACTTTGGGTTGTTGCTGTTGTGTGTGCATGTGTGTGTGTTAACATAAACGGTTTGTGTCACTAGTACGTATAGGAGCTGCTGAGGATTCCATTTATACTGGAGAAAACAGACCCCCCCCCCAAAAAAAACTCAGGGCCCAGCACATATCTAGTGTCACCTCCCATAATCCATACCACAGCCACATACAAGTGCTTAGATCCCAAACATACCTCGTCTGTCTCAAGTAAAAAAATCTTAAACTCTGTTCAACTTAAAGACGTTCTATCTTTTCATTTTCTCATAACACTTTCCAAATGTTCTTCCAAACGGGGCATGCTGTGTTAATTGCAACTTTCTCTATGTCCCATTCTTCACTCCTCTATTTTACTACTGTCTAGCTGCTTCTTCCACTATATACTGAGCTTCTCAAGAACAGGGGCCCAGGGAACCCCAGAACCCAACACACATCTGCCTGGCTGTGCTCACTGTCTAGGCAGGAAAGAGTGGGCACTCAGCAACAGCCAATTGAAATCATTGAAAATAAATTCCAAATGCAGAAAGCTGAAAAGACATTTTATGTTTTTTTAAGATTTATTTATTTATGCATATGGAACTGGGCACAGGACAGAGGGTAGGGGTGGTGAGAGGCTTCACCAGAGACAGTGGGGAGTAGAACAGTCAGATGGACCAAGTATACTGCTGAGGGGAGCAGAGGGCGGGTCAGGAGAGGTCTGTTGGGCCATGTGGGTCACCTGGGGCGGGCGGGATCGAACTCACATTGAAGCGGCTGTGGCTAGCTTGTGCTTTCACCCATTGTGGCACCAGGGAGGGCCAAAAGAAATTTAATTTTTCATAATCACCATCTTGGCCTTTTCCTTTCATTTCTACTTACTTCTTTTCTTCCTTCTTCAATTCTATTCATTTCTCTCCAACTTTACATTAACTCTCTCCAGTGTTAATGGCACCCACCCACCTAATTTTATTAATCTAATTTTATTAATATTCACTAACTCATAATGCTAAGAGGCGTTCTGACATAACAGATAAGAGCTGTAACACAGGCATTTTAGATCATTAATTTCTTAATTTATTAAAATTTATTAAGTGCCTGCTCTGCACCAGATACTGTTCTAAGTGCTTGGGATACGTTCATGGACAAAATACAAAGCTCCCTGCCTTTACATTCTATTAAAGAGAAAGTGGGAAAATTAAGAAACATAATAAATAAGTTCTTTGGAAGGCGAGGGTAGACAGCCAAGCTGGGGGTTGCTGGGGAGAGGTATTGCACTCTTAAATAGTCAGTCCTCATGGAAAGAATGAGATTTGAGGATTCAGAATCTTTCTTGACCCCGAGATCATGAACAATGGATCATTTTAAGTGTAGAAAAACACATGAAGGCAGTGCTGCAAGAGAGCCTCAGCAATACCGCAGTCACCTCCCTTTACAATGGAAGCTCTGTGCCTGAAGGTCAAAGTCATGCTGGAATCAGAGCCGAGGTCATCCTGACTCCTACCTAGTCCAGTATTCTTCTTTTTTTTTTTTTTTTTAAGATTTATTTATTTATACAGAACCGGGGTATAGGCCAGAGATGCGGAGGGTGAGCGGCTTCACCAGAGACAGAGCGGGAAGCAGAACAGGCAGATGGATGAAGTACACTGCTGAGGGGAGCAGCGGGTGGGTCAGGAGAGGTCTGCTTTGCCATGTGGATCTCCTCCAGGGCAGGCGGGGATCGAACTCATGCGGAAGTGGCTTAAACTTCTTAATGCAGTGCTTTAACCTGCTGCGCCACCAGGGAGGGCCTCTTCTTTTTTTTTTTTAATGCATACAAGAGCTGGGGTATAGGCCAGAGGTGGGGAGCAGGGGGTGGGGGGGAGGAGGGTAAGAAAATTCACCAGTGACAGAGTGGGGAGCAGTACAAGCAGATCGACTGAAATACACTGCTGAGGGGAGCAGCCAGGAGACAGGAGAGGTCTGCTGTGCCGTGTGGGTCACTCCATGGCCAGTGTTCGAACTCATACTGCAGTGGCTGTGGACAGCTTCATAGTGCTGCACCTTAACTCCCTGTACCACCAGGGAGGGCCCATAGTCCAGTGCTCTTTTCCACCACACTGCTGAGTTCAAGGCTGCTTCAGAAACGCTGCTGAAATTAACAATTAAGGCTAAAAGCAACACTATGTGACCTTTCTACTTTCCTAACGGACTACTTTTACGTTACGTTTCCTCTTTCCCACAGTTCTGAAGATCATCCTTGCCATTGCCTTTTGCGTGGTGTTCGCTGTGCTCTTGCTGCTGCTGTTTACCCTCATTCGCTATGGGCCCTGCTGGCAGAGAGAATCCTATCGGAACATCTGAGCCGATGATCGAGTAAGGGCAGGCGAGCCAGGCCGGCCTCCCGCGATGCAGCGTCTCCGGGTGATTCGCGCTCAAAGGACAGGCTTTCCATGTGGGCACACCCTGCCCTCCGCCACACTCTCCTCTTGAGGCTACCTGAAGCAAGGCCAAACGCACCATGACCCAGGAACAGTGTTGGACTGACTGACGCGTGACCACCCGGGCGATTAACTAGGTCCTCTTGTCCTTGAACTTCTTGGAGTGTGGGCCTCTCCTTCAGCTAGAATATAGCTCTTCTGCAAAGGGAGAGATAAGAAGCCACGTTCCAATCAGCCTTCTGCAAAGAAGAAAAGAAGTTACAAGGTGTGACAAAGACATAGATTAAAGAAAGCCGAATAAGGGGAGAACTAGACTAGAAGTAGTAGTACGTAGAATGATTCCTAAGATATAAGACCCAATCAGAAGGTATAAATTGACCTCTTCTTTGGCTGTGAAGTAGGTGAATACAAACATATCACGGTCCTGCAAAGAAGTATCTGCCTACTGTTGCAAGCTGCAGATTGTCGGATAAAGGCCTCTATACTAGCAAGTACACAGAACCTTATCTCATTTTGAAAACGCCTTAGGAAGAGGCATTTACTTTTCAGAAGGTGTAATGTCAAACGTTCCACTGCATCTCAGACCATTTTCCTCACAATTACTTTAATGGAAAAAACTGGAAAATCCATGAGGCCTTGGTTCTGTTTTTATCCCCACTGTATTAGGTGGATATTTTTATGGTTCTGATTTCTTTATTTCATTTTATTTTTTTTTAAGATTTATTTATGTGTACAAGAGCTGTAGACTGGGGGTGGGGGAGTGGGGAATGAGAGGAGTCACCAGAGACAGAGTGGGGAGCAGAACAAGCAGATCGACTGAAATACACTGCTGAGGGGAGCAGCGGGAGATGGGAGAGGTCTGCTGTGCTGTGTGGGTCAGCTCCCTGGCCAGGAATCGAACTTGTACTGAAGCAGCTGTGACTAAGCTTTGTAGTGCTTTAACCCCTTGCACCACCAGGGAGGCCCCTCTTTATTTCATTTTAAAAGTAAGAACTTTAGAACAAGGTTTATTCATAGCCCTAATAAAATAATAATGTATTTCAACCACTACAAATAGATCGAATGTTTCAAGTGCAAGGTAGAGGGAAAAGAAGGCTGAAAGACCGCAGCCTCTACTGACATTAGCCAACAACTTGAACATCTTTTAAATATTCAACCTTGATTTCATAACCTAGAAATGAAAAATTGGAGCTACACTTTCAGAGTAGAAGTCACATTAGGCTTCATATTCTGTAAAAGCTGTTCTTTTCCCTTTATACTATGGCCAAGAGTCACCTTCATGAATGCTATAATTGTCAGCCTGGAACCTACTGTAAATCACTTTATTCTGCTCTTTGCCTCCAACCACCCTGCTGCTGGGAAATTCAATCGTATTCATTGATAGAGTTCTTCATCCCCTTGGGTACTACTAAGAGTTCCAGAATGTACCAAGTGCAAAGAACCAGATAAGTCCTTGTGGCTGCTGTCAACAGTGGCTCCAGTAAGCCCCCTGTCCATTCCCACATGGTCTTCAGAGGCGGGTAGGGGTCTACTGTGCCCTGGTTCCCACTTGGAGTTCACCAGCCTGTTCTGCTTGGGTCTCCTGCCTGGGGTGATACCTGCAAGCAACACTGGAAACTTCATCCAGCACAGAATCACCCCTTTGCCCCACCCCATCTCACAGTCTCAGGAATCTTCCTCTCCTCTTGTATCCCACAGCTTCCATCTGTTTAAGTCCAGGCACTTACCTCTATCCCCTCTTTTTCCATAACTCTCCAAAGCCAAGACCATAGCAAACAAAATCCTATAAGTTGTCTCTTTTGCCTGGCAACTTGTGCTACAAAAGGCACATAAAGAATTTCGAGAATGGGCTACATTCTCAGCATGAGAAAGAGAACAATGTCTGAGAACAAAAGACAAGGTACTGTCTCCCTAAAGCTGTCATTAAACGAAACTACAATAACATATGCTAGTAAGTGATGAGATTTTAAAGTAGAAATATGTGTTCCTTGTTATAATTTGTAAGATCCATTTCCAAGTTATTGTGAAGAAATAAAAGTCATCTTTTTGTCTAATTTGTGTATGTGTACTGAATTGATATTTTCTGAAACATTTAGTGTATAAGTCTATCTGGACATCAATTCCCCAGGCTTTTTCCAAAGTGATCCTAAACTAAATAGACAGATGAGCTTATTAAATGTCTTAAGAAGGAAATTGAGAACACATTTAGAAAGGAGGGGCGGATCTTGTCATTTTGTATGCTATTTTTATTATAATTGTTTTCAAAACAAAAAATAAATACAGGTAGTACAGGAGAGCATCAAAAAATCACATTTCATTCTTTCATTACTTTGTTGTCATTTCTTCTATTAAACCCACATTGGCTCTCTCTTGGGGTATATTAATACCTTGAAGGAAAATGCTTGTTAATTATGTGAGTCCATCTAAATTGGATGTCATTTTATTTTGATAATGTCAAACTTGATGCCTCTTCATAAAAATTTTTCATGAGTTTTTTTTTTTCTCACTTTATTCAGGGAAATAACACCCCTATTTGGCTGTTTTAAAATATCTGAAAGATTTGGTAAGTAACTCAATATTCACACATCTTATTCTTTTGATGAAATCTAGCCCTCTACTATGACTGGAACATGACCTCAAGCTTGCAGTTTTATGCAGAGGATGTAAAGATAAGATTAGATATGCTCACCATTTTGTGCATATTTGGGGGCTAAAATATCCAGGTGAATGATTGAATACATGAGTAAAGTTGTGAGATATTAATAAAAAAATAAGGCCAAGTTTCCAGAAATCACAGCACATGACTATAAACTTAATGAATCTAATGATAACTTACTTGTATAAAAGTGACATAATAATGTTGGAGACCAGTGTCTTATAGACCACAATTCATGATCCTTACCATGGGACCAGACTGAAAGAAAAATATTATAGCTCACCCCATTCAAATTTAATAGAAAATAGATAGATTTTAAATAGTATTAACAACTGTAAGGTGGTGAAATGTTAAATAAAATAGACTGAGGCAAAAAACACTTGATACTGTTTGAAAGAATGAGAATAAATTACTCCATTTATTCCTCTCATTTTAAAAAAGATGTATTATTTATTTATCCATACAAGAGCTGGGGTGCAGATGGTGAGAGAATTCACCAAAGATAGAGTGGGGAGCAGAAGAGGCAGATCTACTGAAATAGAGCATCGAGGGGAGCAGTGAATGAGACAGGAGAGGCCAGATCAGCTCCCTGGCCAGGGATCAAACTCTTGCTGCAGTGGCTGCGGAGAGCTTCCTAGTGCTGAGACTTAACCCCTCACACCACCAGTAAGGCCCCTCTCTCCTTTGCAAGCTTTAAGATGTCATTCTTACTTGCCTATTTCAAGCATTTTTATTTCATCTTCACCTTTTGTGCAATAGCTATTCTATTTATGACTTAATATATCTATAAATGACCCTTTTTGAAATGTTATCCTACCCTATGTGTGAACTCAGAAGTGCTGGCTATAAATTCCCCAATGTATTTAATGCATTATACATAGTATAAACTATTGCAGGCATAAAAATTGATCTCTGCACTCTCTACAATGACATGGGGCTCAAATACAAAAATGCCTACACAACTCAGGAGTCACTGAACATAATTCAAGAAAAAGACCCACTTGGTCTCAGTGAATACCAGATGTACCAAACAATGCTTGTGGTTTATTTTATTTATTTTTGCATACAAGTGCTGGGGTATTGGCCAGAAGTATGGAGACAGAGTGGGGATCAGAACAGGCAGGTCTACTGAAAAACATTGCTGAGGTGAGCAGCAGGTGAGACAGGAGAGGTCTGCTGTGCCATGTGCCATGTGTGTGCTCCCTGGCCGGGGATCAGGCCTTATTTATCATAATGCTAAAACTAAACCTCGAGACCACAACCAGAGAGGCCTTGTACCATAAGATGGCTCAAACTCCCAAATACAAAGCGTGACCAATATATGGGTAACTGAGTAGGAAGAAAGTAATTAGAATTGAACTTAAGCTCAATTTGGATGGATCATCTTCACCATTGAAAGACTACAAATAATAGCAGGAACTGAGAAGTCCCAGAGACTTGCACTTGAAAACTGTTGCCATTGTCAGGCTAGGCATCAGATGGTACAGAGAAGCAACAGCAAGCAAGGCAGACTTGCTGGGGGCACAGCAGGAGTGGGAGCCCTGGGCTTTGCAAGGTTGGGGTGTCTTAGGGTGTCAAGCTGGAATAAAACTGAAGCGCCTCAAGTTCCTGGTAGTTTATAGATCTACTTATAATATCCATTCCATAAGGCTACTGTGGCAACCTAATGAGATGACGTCTCTAAACAACCTGGCACAGTGTTAGCTAGTATTATAATTAGTATAATTAGCCTTATTATACACTCCTGGGAGCAGAGATTTAATTAATCACTTCTCACATTTTCATTTGGGAGGTTTACAAGAAAGCCGACCATGGGCCCTGCTGGCTCGTACCACCAATCTGTGATAGGTCTAGATTCTGGAACTGGTTTCTCATTGCCAATAGTAAATTCAGTTCATTCTGAATCAAACATGGTGCTGTTTTTAAATCTCCCTACATGAATAGGGGCACAGAGAAAGAAGTCTACTGTCAGGCTCACAGAGGCCCTGAGGCTGAGCTTCCTGGTCTGTGCAAGGGTGCTTGGGACCCTCTGCTCAAGGTTAAAAAGAGGACTCTTCAGACCTGAGGAGGGCAGGTAAGAGTTTACCTAATAGGGAGAGAGCAAGAAGAGAGCAGTCCAGAGAGACCCCGTCGGGTGTGAGAGACTCCCTGAGATGCCAGGTCTATATAGGTTTCAGGGCGGGAGTATCGAGAACAGGAGTTAAATTTACTGACTGAGAAGGCAAGGAGAGTGGACTTGGCTAATGTCCAGGTGTCTGTCGGACATG